TTAGTAAATAAAGCAGACAGCAGACATCGTGAATGTTACCTTGGTAGGAGCTATGTTTGGGATCTGTTTGTCTCTCAGAATCTGGGTATGTTGGTATTTCTATAGTTATGTGTGCTATCTATTCTAAGAAACAGTAGAATATCTTAGTTAGACAGTAGTGGCTCACACCTTAAATTCCATCACTTGGGAAGCAGAGGCAGGTAGATCTCCATGAGTTTGAGGCCAGTCTGATCTAACAAGCTAGTTCCAGGATAGCCAATGCTACACAAAGAAACCCTGTCTCAAAAAACAAGCAAGCAAGCAAGCAAGCAAGCAAGCAAACACACACACACACACACACACACACACACACACACACACACACACACACAAAGAATCAGCTTGTTTAGGTCTTCCTTTCGACATCTGTCAGGACCAGCTCATCATTTCATTCAGGACTAACAAGGCCCAATGATGGAATGACAGTTATGGAAGAGCCTTCTGACTGTCCTGCGCATTGCAGGTTTTCTAGTCTGTCTGGTTAAAGTAGGCTAACGCCTGGCTGAATGTGAATGTTTGATTCTTTTCTTTTCTCTCTCTTTTTTTTTTTTTTTTTGGTTTTTCGAGACAGGGTTTCTCTGTGGCTTTGGAGCCTGTCCTGGAACTAGCTCTGTAGACCAGGCTGGTCTCGAACTCACAGATCCGCCTGCCTCTGCCTCCCAAGTGCTGGGATTAAAGGCGTGCGCCACCATCGCCCGGCTGATTCTTTTCTTTACTTCTTTCAGACTGGCCTTCCCTGACTGAAGCTCCCCCACACATACATGTGGACCATTCACCTGGATCCTCCCTCTCTGGAACACTCTTCTGCAAACACTGTTTTGAGAACTGGTGCTAATCTCCTCTCCGTGGGTTCCTCGGTTCACAGAACCTGCCAGGCTTAGCCTGTCTTTCCACTCTCCCATGTCACGACCTGAAGACTTTCAGGGGGCCAAGCTACCCACTCACAGGTCCTACCCCGGCAGATGTCTCGCAACTGCTATTTTCTGTCTTTTCCTCCAGGGGTTTATTTGTTCAGATGGAAGAACAAATCCGGTCATGATGACTGGACCCTGGTGAAATGCCGACGTCTTGGAAACTCTGCATTTGGATGCTAGAGGATGAAGTTAGTAGCCGCTCATTTCCTTGCTCTGCAGCCTTGATATATTACCTAACTTCCCCCAGTCCCGGTGATTTTTCATCTGTAAAACTGGAACAATGATGTCATAAAAGTTAAAGTCCTCTTATAAAAATTGTTCCGCACAAAGCCTGGCGTTCTGCGAGCACTCTAACAACGGGGGCCATTTCGTTATCTGGATGATTGGTTGGTGTCAGACATTCCTTGCAGATGATTCCAGGTCTAAAATGTTTAGATTTTATTAATTCAAAATTAAGCTATGCTCTCAATACTTCAGTCATATGTTTGTTATATACAATTAAAAGTGACATTTATAAATAACTTCATCACTGTCAACTTTAGATTTTGTGTGCTTGTCTTTTTAACATCCACTGATTGCAGGTTAGAACAGTAGGAGTCATACGGCCACTTGAACATTCTACTGGAAAAAGAATGAGCTTTTTAAAAATTCCTTCTATTTTTCAATTTATTATTTCTCTTTTGCTTGTTTGTTGAGACAGGGTCTCATTATGTAGTCCTGGGTGGCCTGGAACTCCTCTGTGTAGACCATGCTGGCTTCAAATTCACAGAGGTTCTCCTGTTTCTGCCTCCCCAGTGTTGGGATTAAAGATATAAGCCACCAACCTGGCCAATCTGGAGTTTATTATTTCCTGAAGTGAAGTTTACATCTCTACATTCACTGTCCATCTGGTTATTATGGTCAAGGGTTTGTTTGTTTGTAAGAGGTCTATGTACTAAAAATGAGGCTGTTAGTACACTCCAAATGTTTCTAGCCTGTAATATGTTAATGATAATCTAAAAAAAATATTAGGTCGGAATTTGTCTTCTGTACTAAAAAGTGAGTGTCAACAACTGATATAAATTGGTTATGTAATTATTCAGGCTGCAAGAGGGTTTTCCATCACAAAATTTTAAATTATTATTAACAATACACTGTGCACTTGGAACCAATTTTAAAGGTTCATCGTGCCCACTAATTTGCTTTCTTTGTATCCAAGCAATACTTAAAATAAACAAACAATCATGACAATCAGTAAACAGTTCTTTGAAAATGTGCCCTCTTTGTTGCATGGCAACTATTGATCCTATTATGTGTGTGTGTTTTACATGCTCTAAAATAATTAAGCAAGGCACAGATTGCTATCTACTTTTTCAAAATGTTAAAAGCATTTAAGTTATTAAGTTTATTCTAATTTGTGCATTATATATTTGTAAAGAGAACATTTCATGCCTACGCAAAGGCACAGTGACCCAAGAAAGGGATGACAATGTCATATCAGTGATTCTCCTTTCTCATGAGAGGACTTTTAGGGAACTTTTTATTCACAGCCTTAATAGCTAACACAGTCAAGACATTCTTATCATTCTCCGGCTTTACTGGCCTGAGCATGATTTACTGCTGGTTAAACAATAACCATTTATTAAGGCATGCTGTCCTCTCAACAGAATGAGACACCCATTTTCACTACAGGAGATTATACACGCCGGGGCCATCTGTGAGACAAGCATAATGTCCTGGAGACATGGCAAGCACTTAAGAAGAACGGTTACAATATGACGCAGGATTCTTTTCACCATGGAATTAACTTTGTAGAAAGCAAGAACACTGATTTTTTTCCTTAATGTCAGATGCTAGGCTTAGCTTAATCTCTGAGCAGAAGAACCAGAGTGAGGCATAAAGACCCTTTTGCAATGGGATGTACTTAAAAACCCCAGTGGGATTGGGAGTGTGGAGAGCATCTCAGGGAAAGGCAGGAACGTTCATGCCATTATTAACATTCTAAGATGAAGATCTCAGGGGGTGGAGAAAATAATTGTCGTATCTCCATCCGGGTTAGCTCCACCACAACAATCTCAGAGTTAAAGCACGGGGCATTTTGAGAATGTCTCATAATAAATATCCACAAACCGTTCTTCAAAGAGCTGCTTTCATCTCAAGTTCTGTGGCCATAACTGCCTACTGTTCTAGGTCTTCACCACAGTGCCCAAACTATTCTAACATCTGCTGCTAAAGGACATTTTGGACTATTTGTCTGATAGTTTTGGTGGTGCCGGAATGGAGCCCAGAGCCTGGCACTTGCCGGAAGATCATCTTTTTGAGTATTTAGATATTCAAATGATAAGGATCGGGGAAACAAATAAGAATAGGCCATCTAACTAAGCACATCAAATGTTATCAAAAATTAGAAGCAGGCGCCTTCCACAAGCAAGACAAGGTCAGCTATATGGGGTGACCCGGGGCAACTGCAGCCCATAGGCTCAGATTTTACGCCCCATCCCCCCATGTACACTGTGCTTAACAGGGATATTCTTCTTGACACAGGGTCTCATCATTCCAGGCTGGCCTCCAAGTCATTTCTTCCTGCCTCAGCCTTATCACTGGGTTAGCAGGTGTGTAACACCACACCCAGATGAGCATCTGGTAGCCTTAATCTAGCTAAGGACAAGGGGGAAGGCACTGGTTTACAGTGCGCTAGTGCTGGTTGAGGATGTTTGGAAACTGGGAACGGAAGGGACAAATTTAGAATCTAGCAGAGCGTGAATGGTTTCGATATGCTGGGTGGCACAGTGCAGGACTGTAAGAGGAAGCAATGGCTTGAAGGGGGCTGAGGTGGCAAGTAATAGGACCCAATCCTCAACGAGAACACGAGAGTGGCAGAACAAATTACACAGAGCACAGCCGTACTGCGTGGACTTCAGCAGAAAGCTCCAGTTCTGGAGAACTTTTAAGTCAAAGGACGACAGTGCACCGAGGGCTGGGTACAGTTCAGGGGTCGGGCTTTGCCTAGCAGCACATGGTCTTGGATTCCAAACCTAGTGCCACCCCCAGTTTGCCGCATCAAGTGTTGAAGCTGAGGGAGAAGCCCTGTGCTGGGTACAAGACACCAAGGGAGGAGAGAAGAGCGGAGAGGCCAAGGCTCCAGCCCAGGGTGGTTCCAGGCATCAGAGGAGTACTAAAATGTGTGGCAGGGAGGGTTTCCTCACCACTCCATTGCGATAGGGCTGTGCATGTGGAGAAAGTGGGTACTAACAGCTTAAGAGGCGTGGCTTGCTCTATTAGGATGTATTTAAGTTGTTCATTGTTGAAACCCTGAAAAATACAGCAAAGTTCAAAGACAATAGTGTACATTTTTCATGCTCTGAGAGCAAATGGTTCTTAGTGGTAGACAGAGACATGCTCACTTATTTAACCCTGCCAGAGTAAACTGGTCAAATTTTCTTTTTTTTTTCATATTTGATCGTATTTTATTTTATTTTTTTAAATTTATTTATTTATTAAAGATTTCTGCCTCCTCCCCGCCACCACCTCCCATTTCCCTCCCCCTCCCCCGGTCAAGTCCCCCTCCCCCGGTCAAGTCCCCCTCCCTCATCAGCCCAAAGAGCAATCAGGGTTCCCTTACTAGACCTAGATGGAGGTGGATGGTCCTTGGTCAAATTTTCTTAACTGATAATTTTAAATCACATCTATTCTCTTATCTTAGAAGCAAAGAAGTGAGAATTATTAGTATTTCTATTCTTTAACAAATATGATCAAATACAGATTCTGACACTAGATGGAAAAAAGTAAATATTTAAAGATTAAAATTATGGTTTTTTGTGTAAGAACCGAGAAAATCCTAACATTATAAAATTTCAATTTCTATTTTTTATTTTTCCTTTTTATTTCGTATCATATTGCCTAATATTTTGGAAAATGCATATGTCTTAAGTATATTTGGAATGGGAAATTCCAAATGGAACCAGAAGTATTCAGAGTAGCAATGAAATCTATCTGGACCAGCTTCTGGCAGAAGGACAGAGTGTTTCTAAAGCAGACAAGACACGCGCTGATGAGAGCCAGGGTCACCTTCTCTCTCCAGCTCTCGTCGCTCAGCAGCTTCTGTCTCAGGGTTTCCTGCATCTGCTCGATGCTCTTCTGATGGGCAGCCAGCATCAATTCCCTGAAAGCCACAAAACTGACAGATAAGACAGGACTCCCGCCTCGTGATCCTCCCCAGCTGCAATGCCTGTCTCAGAGGCTATTCTCCCACAACATAAGAAGCATACACGCTTTAACAATTTAACATTGCTTTGGATTGAAATCCCAGAGTCACCTCGGCCCCGTCCTTTCCTCTGCTTCATCACATCCATTCACGAGCCACTGGCCAGAAGAGAAGCCTGGACAATTTAAAAACTGAAGTCAAGGGCTAAGGAGGTGCTTTCCACACAAGTGTGGAGACCTGAGTTCAGAGCCTCAGAGCCCACAGCATGGCAGCATGGGTCTATAGTATCAGAATTCCTACAGCAAGATGGGAAGCAGACACAGCATCCCAGAATCCCGTGAGCCTGTTAGCCTAGTATGTGCAGGATGAATAAAAGATGCAGGCTCAAACATGGTGGGGGGTGAGGTGCAATACCTGAGGTTGTCCTCCATCTGTGTGCAATGGCATATGCATATGTGCACGTGCACACACACAGACACACCCTTCACACTATGCACACATGATTTAAAACAATCCCTGAAGTCATATCAAGTATCTTTTCAATCACACTACAATAAAATTAGAAATCAGTAGGAAAAATTTCAACACTATGCAAACAAGAGAATGTTAAATAACTTATTCTTGAACAACAATGAATAAATTGAACGTTTTCCATTTCTTGAAGCAAATAAGAGTGGAGACACACATATCAAAGCTACGTGATGGGGCAAAACAGCGTCGAGAGGCAAGTTCACAGTAATCAGTGACTATGAACGAAACAGAAGATACACAGCCTCTGGCTGCATGTCACAGAACTGACAAACCAAACAAAAATTAGAAGGAGAAAGATAATAAATATCAGAATATAAGACAATGAAGGAGATAATGAAAATACAGCCATAGTTTGCTTTCTCTTGCTAGGATGACTACAAGCCAGAGTAACTCGGGGAGTAAAGCGTCTACTTGATTTAGACCCTAGCCACAGTCAGCACTGAGCGAAGCCAAGGCAGGGACCTGGAGTCAGGAACTGAATCAAAGACCATGGAGCAACATTGGTTTATTCTCCACGGTCTGTTTAGTTTACATTCTCCTACAACCAGTGCCACCTGCCCAGGAGTCACACCACCCACACCAGTTATTAATCAAGAAAATGCAGGGCTTGATTCAAGGTGGTGGTAGTCGTGAGGCTGCGGGCAGGTACAAGGAGCCTGAGAAACCCACGGAGGCATCAAGGGGAAATTAGGTGGCAGGTGCTAGACCTGCAGATCTATGCAGCACTACCTCCAAAACAACGAAAAATGATAGGTCTTAAAAGAAAAAAAGAAAGAACGAAAGAAAGAACGAAAGAAAGAAAGAAAGAAAGGAAAAGAAAAACAAAAAGAAAAAAGAGAAGAAAAGGAACAGCCCAGACAGGAATTTACTGAAGAGAGCCTCTAAAGGTTGTGGTACAGATGCTGAAGGGTCGCTCTCCACAGTTGATGGCTTCTGGTGGGAGTGGGAGTGGAGGAAACCTCGGTTTTCTCTAAGGGACTGGCCACTGGGAGTTTGACCACGCTCCAATGAGCATAGGGGAAACATAAATTGGATTTAATGTATTTTTCTTTTTAGTGGGGTGGAGTGGGGATACAAAAGTGGGGGAGTGGGCCTGGAAGGCATGGGAAATGAGTGTGGTTGGGGGGCATTGTATGAAATTCCCAAATAATTAATAAAAATACTATGTTGGAAAAAAGGAAAAGAGAAAAGAAAATGCCCCACAGACTTGATTAAAAGCCTGTATGAGAGAGGCAGTTTTTTTCTATTGAGGTTCCCAGTTGGCCTGATCTTGTGTCAAGTAAAGAAAAACCAAATCAACTCGAATACCAAAGATCAAAATACGAAGAGCTGAGGACTGGATGGCTTGGCGGTCAAAGCGCATACAGCTCGCAGAGGCCCGTGCTGGCTCTTAGCCCCACCTGTGGCTTGCAACCACCTGGAACTGCAGCTCCTCAGGATCCAGCATCTGCTTCTGCTCCCCAGAGTGCCTGCGACTTAAGTCACACACCTCTACCCCGAAAAAAAGGCCTTAAAAAATCAGATGCGGTCAGCAAACTCTTTTAATTCCAGCATAAACAGATAGATCTCTGTGAGGTCAAGGCCGGTCTTGTTTACATAGCAAGTTCCAGGACAGCCAGGGACACGTAGTCCCTAACTCAAATAAATAAATAAAAATCAGAGATGAAAAGAGACATTGCAATGGATACCACAGAAATGGATAATTTTCTGAACCTATACACTTTACCAAGGCTGAACCATAAAGCAGAGGAAAGCCGAAGAGATCAATAACAGGCAATGAAACTGAATCTGTGATTTAAAAACAGTCTCCAATCAAAGAATAGGCCAAGAAAATTGAACTGCCGAGTTCCACCACACATTTAAAGAGGACTGATGTCTAGTTCTTCCTCAACGAGTCCACAAAATGGGACGAGTATGAGATAATCTCTCCAGCCACAGCCAGCGATGCCAGCCTTATCCTGTTGTTACCCCAACCACACAAGAACACTCAGTTCTAACAGGTTAATTACCTATGAACATAGATATAAAAATCTTCAACAAAATATTAGAATATATAAAAAAATATTATCATTATTCATAAGAGTTAAGCATATGTAAATCAGTAAGCAAAAAAAAATCAAAATGAAGGACAAAAACTATTTGATCACCACAATTCATTAAGAATGCCTTTGACAATGGGTTTTTGATCCTACTGCACCTATTGGTTCTGTGGGAGCCTAGGCAGTCTGGATGCTCACCTTACTAGACCTGGATGGAGGTGGGTGGTCCTTGGACTTCCCACAGGGCAGGGAACCCTGATTGCTCTTTGGGCTGACGAGGGAGGGGGACTTGATTGGGGGAGGGGGAGGGAAAGGGGAGGCGGCGGTGGGGAAGAGACAGAAATCTTTAATTAATTAATAAATAAATAAAAAATAAAAAAGCAAATAAAAATATGATGGAGGAAGGTCATTGGTTAAAAAATAAAAAAAAAGAATGCCTTTGATAAAATTAAACATTCAACAGTAAACAAGTTGGGTAAAGAACATATATACTTCAACATAGCAATGGCAAATATAATAAGCTAGCATATAATTTGTATTTCATGAGAAAAGGCTAAAAGTGTTCTCTCATAGTACCTAGAACAAGACCGTCACTTGTATTCAACACAGTACTGAAAGCCCCAGGCAGAATGATCAAGCAAGGCAAAGAAATGAAAGCATCTGAATTGGAAAAGAGGATGTCAAACTGTCGCTATTGCAGATAACATGGTCTAATATATAGAAAAACTCAGACTCCACCAAACACCTATGGGAATTAATAACACAAGTTTAGCAAAATTGCAGGACACAGAATGTAAAAGTTAGTGCTGTTAAATGCCCATAGCAAAAACAGACATCAAGAGAGTTACCCTATTTTCAGTAACTATAAAAAATTAAATGCATGGGAGTAAATCTAACCAAAGGGGTGAACAATCTCTACAATGAAAACTATACAAAATAGTATTTAAAAATTGAAAAGACACAATAAATCAAAATACATCCTGTGTTTATAGACTGGATGAATCAATACTATCAAAATGTACATATCACCAAAAGTTGTCTTATAGATTCATTACAATCTATAACAAAGACCTTCTTCAGAGAACCAGGGAAAACAACCCTGAACAATGAAACTACTAGAAGAAAATGTAGAGGAAACTTTTAGGATATATGAATGGGCAAGGTCTTTTTTTGTGTGTGTGTATGTGTGTGTGTGGCAAGACCAGAATATCACAGTCAAAAATACAAAGTAAGAACTGACACATGGGATTATGACACAGCACAAAACGTGTGCAGAGCAGAGGAAGCAGCTTTCAGGGTGAAGAAGCAGCACACATCATGGGAGGCCATGCTGGTAAACCACACATCAGATAGGGAGTGGATATCTAGATAGAAGGAATTCAAATAACAGCAAAAGCCAACCTGATAAAAAATGTACAGTAGACACGTCTGAAAAGAAGACGGGCAAGTGCCTCAACAGGCGTGTGCACAGTGCTCAATCCCACCAGCCCCCAGGAATGCAGATGGAAGCGGATGTGAGCTATCAATGTGTCCCCATGAGAACGGGCTGTTACAGAAGAAAAGGAGAAGAGGGAGCCCTTTCTCAGTGTTGCTGGGAATGTAAATCAGTGTTGCCATTTTGGAGAACAAGATGGAAGGTCCTTAAAAAAAAAAAAAAACTAAAAATAGAAGCACCATATGGTCCAGCTCTCATTGCTGGGTGTATATCCAAGGGAGGGGGACCAGTGTGTCAAAGAGATGTCGGCACTCCCATGTACACCACAGCAATAGCCAAGAAATGGAAAGAGGCTAGCGTCCATCACATGACCACAGAAAGCCTGGCATTGAAACACAATGGACAGTAGTGACCATCCGTGACAAGGTGGCTAGAACTGGAGATCGCTGTGTTAAGTGAAATAAGGCAGGCACATAAAGACAAGAGCTGCATGACTCCACTCATGTGTGGGTTACACAACCTTGATCTCAGAATCTGAGGACAGAGTAGTGGTTACCAGGGGCGCGAGAGGCCAGGAACTGAAAGGGGGAGCAACACTCGGTCAGTGGTGATGACGGATTGCTGAGCAGCAAGAGGGTCTGGGGTGCTAATGTTAATTGTGTGCCGCATTGCAGAAAGCTGGACCAAAGGATTCTGAAGAGCTTCATCAGGACGTGATCAATATTGGAGGAAATTGCTATGCTTAACCTAGCCACACGTCTAAAGTCAGTTAAGAAGGTACAGTCGGTTCTCCTCTAAGATCATGGTCTCACTAGTCACATAGTTGGCTAAAGTTACTGCACCAGGCATGGTTTCCCACCTGTTAAGACAGCCTTCAGTTCAGATCTCATTTTCAGCAAGACAGAAGCCCTAGAAAATCTGGGAGGCTCTGCCCAGTTTCTAGTGCTGTGACCAGAGGCTCGAGGAGGATGAAACACATCCTCATCCAATAGCAGACACACACTGCCCGCCTGCTCCTCTCTCCGGGGATGCAATAGTTCTTCTAAATTCATAGAAATACGTCCACACAATTCTCTCATTGTCAGAAGCAATGAAGAGAGAGAGCAAATGGCTGAGGTGATATGTTTCACAAGTGGGCACGCTCGTGCACGGCAAGGCTTTCTATGTTGTAGCGTGCTGCCTTTCTTTAGCAGGCTTCTCAAGGGAGCTGCTGCTGACTGTCTAACCCTCTAGCCCGCAGTCTCACCAGATCCCTTCAAATGAACACTTTTAGTGTTGACACAATAGGCAAATGAGGATGTACTTGCAATTAAGGGTATTTACTTTAAAAAGCTAACTTTTTAATTCTCAGTCCCCAAAGAAAATGAGACTCCAATTTCTTATATAAATGCAAAATTTTAGATTTCCTTAATTATAGTTAAAAATGTAGCTGCAAACAAACGTCAAACCAGAATGCCAAAACAACAGCTTTAAGTCCCATTTCACAAGTTGTTCTTTTAGAGATGTCTTCACGTTGTCAATCAAAGAGATAATTTTGATTTTGCCACAGCTCCTGCCTCCATTAAAAACAGTAAGTGTGTGGTCGCAGAAGTTGGGCAAGTGAGTTGTTCTCAAAACTGTCGATGGATAGCAAACCAGAGACAATGGTGAGACTGTGAGAAAATTTTGCTCCATTACTGAAGATAGCACAGCACTTCTCTTGGTAACTCTATGCTCTGACAATGACGTCACAGTGGAAGCACCCCAAGGGTTAATTATTTTACATCTTAGAAACAACACAGGGGATACTGAGTTCAACAGCTACCTGCTGAGTACCTACATGGGTAACAGTAGACTATGAAATGATGATTTAGGAAGGCAGTGGTCTAAGAAAAGATGAAACAGAAGAAATAATACTTCAGAGTGTCTGTAACAGACAAGGCGAGAGCTAGATGCTTTAGCTTCCACAAAAAGTTAGCTGGTATTAGTACACCCAGTTTGCACACAAGGAAAGGGGTTAACATGGTTGGGTTGCCCAAGCTTGACAATGGCCACGCTGCGATGTAAATCTGTGTTTGCCCAACTCAAAAGCACAAAGGCCTTATTTTACCACCGAATTCCTTACTATTGTTGTTGTTTGAGACAGGGTCAAACTATGTAGCTCTGCTTGGCCTGGCCTGGCTTGCAGTGATCCTCCTGCCTCAGCCTCCTCCATCCTGGGATTACAGGTGTGTAGCACTATGGCTGGCTATGAGTCTTTTCAGTTTATATAATATTAAATATATCTATTCACTTTCCTTTGCTTCTAAGTATTTTTGGATTTGTTCCTGAAGGGTGAATCTTTATCACACTGTTGACAATGTAAATCATGTATATGTAGACTAATCCTCAGAGGAGGATTGCAGGAACATTTAAAACAGTGGTTCTCAACATGTAGGTCATGACCCCTTTGGGGTTACATATCATAACAGATATCCTGCATAACAGATATTTACATTATGATTCATAATAGTAGTAAAATATAGTTATGAAGTAGCAATGAAATAATTTTATGGTTGGGGTTACAACATGAGGAACTGTATACAACAGGGTCGCAGCATTAGGAAGGTTGAGAACCACTGATGTAAAAGATAGGACGAGCTCAACCACTGTGGCCAACAGCGTTTGCCTCATTAACCCCACATCATTGAAAACAGGGAATCCTAGACAGCATAAGAATTCTTCAGATGACCAAGGTTCTAAACCAAAGACTTCTGAAGTTGTTGTTGTTGTTTTTTTTAAATCTATTTCACAGTACCTTTTTGAGGATTGTAATTCTGTGCAGTCTCTATAGAATACATAACTGCTTTCAGACAATGGGCAATCATTATGCTCACTGGTTATTAACCCATATTATAAAGATAGGGAGGACATTTCTGAAGTTATTGACATACCTACGGCCATCAGTATATACTTCTAATGTATCTCTAATAGACACTATAATGTTTGTCTAAGTTATAGTGATTTTGAAGGTTCTCTGTCCATACACAAGTTTCCTTTCTGCTTATGCATGTTCAATTTTCCAGCATTTATTCCTTTAATAAGTCTGGTTTGTTTACATTTCTTGCTTATAAGGTTGCAGCTTCTAATATGCTATTCAATCATGAAATGAAGAAGAAAATATACAATATTGAATACTATATAATCATGAAATGAAGAAGAAAGGAGTTGATGAAGAGTAGGTAGGCACAAAAACATCACTGCAAGAATCAGGTTACTGGTATCTCAAAGAGAAGGAATGTGGGCGACGTTAGCTCTGAGCTGGTATTTGGAGGAGTAGAAATAAAACCAACCCATGAAGCACCAGACATAAGCCTTGTTTCTTAGGGAATCGTGAAGATCTGCTAGCCTGCAGTACACTCAGATGACTCCCATAGTCTACCACTCTGTTGCGGAGAAAGAGTTCTGAGCAACAAACCCAATTACCTAATTAAATATGCCTGCTATCTACTGCTGCAGCCCTACCCTAGATTTATTCTCAGAAAATAGCTATAATTATGATGAAGAACTAAAAACAAAATCATAAAATTATAAATAGTACTAAACATTAACAAAAACTTTTAATCAGATTAAAACAATAGGAGAGAGCCTGGCAAACTGAATTCAACCACTGCACCTGCATAAAATTGAAGGAGAGAACCAGTTCCACAAAAGTGTCCTCTGACCTCCATATGTACGCTGTGGCATGTGTGACAACACACGCGTATACGTGTGTGCGCGCGTGCATGCACATGCACGCGCACACACACACATGCACATACACACACACCAAAAGCAACAAATACAATTTCTTTTAAATTATATAATAATAAAGGTAGACAATCAATCATCAGCTTCCTATGTGCAGAGAATAATAAAAAGTAAAAGTTTCTGTCCTCATATGGCATGTATTATCCTAAAATGAAAAATTAGACCACTACATGTAAAAAGGAATACTCTCTATGTCCCAATCTAAACGTCAACAGGGAAAAACCAAATGTTATGCTATCTGTTAGAAATACAAGTGAAACAAAAGGGTTCTGAAAGAATGAGAGAAGACATTCTCAGCGAATTAAAACATGAAAGAAAGCAGAGCTGAAATGTTCTTACGGAAGAGGCTCGTGTAAAGATGCCGAATGATGAGAACGAAAGCGCCTTGAGAGTCTGGCCGGCACGCCTGCAGCACCATTAATTCCACCTGGACGGAAACCTTGGAAAGATCGCTAGAGGGGCAGTGAGAAGGAGGAGCCGGCAAGATGGAAAAGGGATAAAAAGCAAACAAACATTTTAATGCTAAAAATAGAACTCACCAAGTTTTCGGTGAGGTTACAAGTCTTTACGAATGATCAGATTTGAGTACAATTCTGACAGTAAAGCCAGCTGATGCCATCTCTGCTTTGGCTACCTGGTAAGCTGAGATCCAGCCTAATCACTTGAAAGTGAGGGACCGAATTTACACGTGAAATAGGCCCTTAGTCCTGACCTTGCTGTTATGATAACACATTGATGTTTCAAATATATATTGAATACTTATTTAAGGATAAATTATCTTTAAGGCATTATTCTTGACTGCACCTTTCATTTTTCAGAGTTAAAATTTCTTCCTGTGTCCGATGCAGGAGAGTTTTAGTCATTTCTAGCTCATTTTCCGCAAGGTTGATCCTTCTTTTTAGATCTTCCCCTTGCCTTTCTTTGGTGGTCAGCTCTTCCTGTAGAGTTTTATATAGTTGCTGACAAGTCAGTAAGGAGTCTTCTTTCTCTTTGAGTAGCCTGCTGTGCCTAAAAGGGATAGGAAACAAAGGGTCACAAGCATACGTTACATACTATGATTTTACATTTATACTATGGTTTATATTTGTACCATGACTTTATAGTTTGGAGAACTTTCATCATAATTGTAACTTAAAAACAGATGTGAAGAATATGAATATTTCCATGACGTTAAGTTTTTCCCATCGTGGTAACTAATTTCATTGTCATCTTGGCTGGATCGAGAATGATCACAGATTCTGAGTGTGTCTATAACGGTGTTTCTGGAAAGGTTTAGCAAGGAGGGAAAACTCACTTTGAATACAAGCAAAGCCATTCCATAGCCTGGGTCCAGACTGAATAAAATAAAGAGGAAACTGAGCTCCCATAATTCACTGTTCTCTACTCCCTGACTGGAAGGACGAATTAGTTGCCTCATGCTTCTGTACCGAAATTACCCTGCCATAACTGGCTGTATTCTTTTCAAAAATGAGCCAAAACAAACCCCTGCATCCTTTTTTTTTTAAGTACTGTGCTCAAAACAGTGAGAAAATTAACAGAAAATTGGTGCCAAGGAGTGAGGTAAACAGACCACGTGGTTCTTAGGACTTAAGAACTGGTTTGTGGGAAGACCGTGGAGTAGTTTGGAAGTTGGGGTGAGGGAAGCCTGTGACTGCTGTAACCAGAGTGAAACTGACTGTTACTAGTTGAAAACCAGAAGATTGGAATGCCGAGCGAGAGAAGTGCAGGAGTGGAGCCCTGAATTGTCTCAGACAAGTGTCTCAGAGAACAAGGAATCCTTTGGGAACTTAGCTGGGGGCATTCATGTTATATTCTGGAAAAGAACATGGCTTCCCTCATGTCCTGAGAACTTGAGGGAGACTGAATTCAAAACCAAAGAGCATCTTTGTTTGGTGGAGAGTATGAGAGGATGGGACAACGTTCAGGCTGGGCCGTGGTTACTGCTCACTGCCCCTACCCAGGTCTACAGAGACAGGCAGTGACAAGCAAGGCGGAATGATAGGAAAAACACGCAGCTTGGTGAAGAAACTGTCAGTTTAAAGCTATTGACAAGGCAAGTGCAGCCCAAACAGTTGTAACTGTTTGAGATTCAGACCGTTCAAAAGAAGCCTCAAACTGTGTCAGTGGGAAATGGAAAAGGCATCCCCACCACCAGAGGCTTTGACTTGTGAAAGCACATATTCACATAAAAGGGAGGCTGAACTGAGAGGGCCCCTGATGGGATTCCTGATTTGAAAACAACAGTCTTGGAAAGCGCCACTCAGATGCAGAAATGTTACGATAAAAGAGGTTGGTAGCAGAACCAAGCAGTGCCATCTACCTGGTACTGGTACAGGGCTCCCAGGGAGGCATGGACACTTTCTCCAAACAATCCAGAAAGCTGCTGAGGCTAGGCAATGCATGGGAAGGTCCTAGTCCCTGCAGGGAATCCCTGAGAGGCTATGGGTAACCTTGTGAAGGTAATGCCAATTGCAATGGAGATCACATGGCATTGAAGTCGCCAGGATCATGGGGTACCTGATGAGGAAAGCTACAGGCGTAGCAAGGAGGAAGCCCAAGAGAAAGGCTTCCTGTACTGCAAACTTGGGGGACAGGAGCTGTGCAAGGTCACCAGAGCCCAGACAGTCCTGTCAGAAGCCTCAGATGGGTGGGTGGAACTGTAGCATTTGGTGTCTGTGTTGATGGGTTTGACTTGCTTTGGACAGATCTTACCTTGCTAAAAACCACTCCTCCCCTTGGGATGGGAAGCTTACTCTGTGGTGTTTTATGGTAGGAGTGCTGCCTGTTTTTTTTTTTTTTTTTTTTTTTTTTTTTTTTTTTTTTTTTTATCTTATATAGCTCATTTAAAGAGACTGCCTCGGGTCTCAGCAGAGACTTTGGATTCTGGAGCAGTGTTGGGTTGTTTAAAGGGCCGGGTCTGCACCCCGACATGAAAATGAGACTCCAGGAGCCAGGTGGAATGCTATGACTTTGTAAAGTTTGGACGTCAAGTTGACAAGGGGTGGGGCTGTGACTGTTCATCTTCATGTCAGCTTGGCAGGATTTAGGATCAGCATGGAAATCCTTCCTTCCTATAAGGCTGTTCCGAGAAAGGGCTAACTGAAGAAGAACTACTCTGAAAACAAACAGGTGACGGTTCTCACAGGCTGGGGTTTGGACTGAAAGAAAAGGAGAACGCAAGTTGGAGGCTGTCTTTCTCTCCCTGTTTCCTGACAACGCCCACCTCGTCCACCTCGGCCACGCAGTGGTGTTCGTCCCTTAGGTTGCTTTGTCGGTTGTTTGTGTTGCAGCAAAGAGAGAAGTAGTGACACCAGAGTGGGCAGAGACAGAAACCACGGACGACAGAGAGACCAGGAGGTCCAAATTAGGTGTCACATATATAAGCAAGGAAACAATAGGCAACTGCGTTCTCAATGAAATGACTTAGAAATAAAATTTAAATTCAGTTATTAAAATGTTAATTACAAATTTGCAATATATACCTTGACTCAGAAATGACAGACTCGAACTTCAGTTTTCTAAGTTCTCTTTGACAGTTATCAGCGTCATTAGACTTTTTCCTAGGACAAAAGTATTTGCAATAGTTAAAAATGTATTATTTCAAAAGAAAATGTTTTTTCTATATCTTAAAGTCTTTATATTATTATTATTAAAACATGCACTTAACCAAATTACTGCTTATTTGACTATATTTTTTTTATTATTATGTATACTGTGTTCTGCCTGCATGTAAGCCTGAACACCAGAAGACAGTATCAGATCTCATTACAGGTGGTTGTGAGCCACCATGTGGTTGCTGGGAATTGAACTCAGGACCTCTGGAAGAGCAGCCAATGCTCTTAACCACTGAGCCATCTCTCCAGCCTCCTATTTAACTGTATTTAACTAAGAAGGATACAGTCTGAACATTATCAAACAAGCCCACGACAGAACAAACAAGATGGTATCAACACTGAAAACTGGTCAGAAGGGAAGGGAGTCTAGGGGACAGAGTGACTCTTGGAATGAGATGACCCTATAGAGTCAGGGTGCTTCTTACATAACTGTAAGCCTGGGGACAGTCTCCGTGAGAACCAGGCAGGGGAATGAAACCTCTGGCAGGAAGTGCCAGTCTTCCTGGCCTGAAGAACCAGAGGAAAACGTTCTGAGCAACTTAGCTGCTGGGAAGTGAAGGGCTAAGCCTGGATTGCTTGGGAAAGAGAGTCCCCAAACAAACTCCGCTAGTCTCTGGTCTTCAAGCGCAAAGGGCAGGTCCGACACAGCCCAGGAGGAGATTAATAACTGAAATGAAATGGAGCTGCTGCCCTAGAGACAATCTGCAGTGTGACACCGACCGAGTTACTTGCCCATGCAGTGGTACCGCCCCTACGGTACCACTATGATCGTTAAAAAGTAATAAGCTGAGTGTTCCAGAGCTTGTGTCGACTTGACACAGCTGGGGTCATGTGTCCTGAGTTCCTGGGCTGACTTCCCTTTATAACGGACTGTACACAGCAAACTCAAATAAACCCTCTTCTCCACAAGTCATTCTCGGCCATGGTGTTTATCAACAGCAGTGGAAAGCAAACGAGGACACTGCTTGAGATCAGACCATGAAACAAGAAGACATGCATAGCGACAACATAATGCTACCAGGCCATTTCCTGCCTGCCAGATAAAAAATCCACACACGGCATCACCCCAGTGCTGGGAAAATCAGAACGCTAACAGTTATACATTCACAGGAGCAGAAGTTCCGAGAACAGGGTGTCCAGTTAGAGATTCACAAACCAGTCATCGAGACAGTCAAAGTTCACTGTGGCCCAGACTGTTAATAAAGTATAAGCATGGTATAAAGGTCCATAAATTAGGAGGCAGATTCTGTACTACCGTTTTAGACACACAGGGGTTCCCTCTCCACGTCTATGGCTTTGTGTTCTGAAGTCTGTTACCCTACGACAGTTAAAAAGTAATAAGCTGAGCGTTCCAGAACTAATTAGTTTTCAACTGCACACAATTCTGACTACCGTTATGAAATCTGTTGTCCCATCCCATCCCACCAAGGGCACTCGTCACTTTGTCCTGTGTGCTCACACTATCGATTCTATCCATCTTCCGCTCTCTTGGTCCCACTCAGATGTCAGATCCACTATGGTGTTGATCACAGTGGCTGCTCGTAAGGCATCTTTACCTAGCAGCCTGGGACCATGTCACAGCGTCAGCATGCTTCATCAGGCAGGCCTTGGAAGTATCTCATAAGACAGCGAACACAGTACAACAGGCTAGGAAATGTAGCTCATTCCTATAACTTTCACTATATTATAACTCTATTTTCCATTATTTATATTACCTTGTGCCTAATATATAAATTAAACTTTACTTTTTTAAAATTTATGGGTGCACAGGTGTGGTAGTTTGAACGAGAATGGGCTCTATAGGTGTAGTTGCCTGAATACTTGGCCCCTAGGTGGCGGGATTGTTTGGGAGGAATTGGGAGGCACAGTCTTGTTAAAGGAGGTGTGTTGCTGGGGGTGAACCTTAAGGTTTCAAATGACTAGTGCCTTGCCAGTGTGCCCCTTCTCTGCTTCTTGTTCATGGCTCAAGACATGAGTTCTCAGCTGTCCCTGCTGCCATGCCTTTGGTCCCCCAGCAAGGACTCCAACCCTCTGAAAATAGAAGCCAAATGCTTTCTTTCCTAAGTTGCCTTGGTCATAGTGTTTTATTAGCACAATATAAGACAGTAAGGAAGTACAGGAAAAACTGTGTATATGTGTGTCCACCTGTGCACTTGTGTGTAGGGTTTAATACTAACTATGGTGGTTTAGGACTGCGTCTTCTGTTTTGTTTCTTGAGACAGGGTCCTGGAGCTCATGTAAAACAGATTAGGATGGAGCTCACAGGGGTCCATGGACCTCTTATCTCCTAGGCACTGGGTCCTGAAGCACAGCCCTTGTGGCTAAGGGGTGGGCAACTACTATATTAACTACTAATTGATACATTCCAAAATATTGTAAAGGAATCTGTTCCTTTTCCTGCATTCATGAAAGCAAAGACAACCTTCAGGAAATTTACAAGCACTGAACAAAGCAAGCTTCCACACAAGCCTCATTCTCATTCCTGGGCATTCTTGGCAGGGGCTGCAAATAATTTTGTCAACTATTCCTTCAGGTAATGTAAACCCATGCCAAGGGTGTGCGTTCATATTTAATATTAAAGGGGTAATTTTCATGGCCACATGTTTTATTTCACAACTCATAGTAGTTGATTTTTCATAACAGTTAATTTTTCTTTTAAGGATGTATTTCTGAATATACTTAGTGGATAATAATTATACTAACTCCAATGTCTTCTGCTTGCTAATTTGAATTTCTTAAGGAGTTAAAGGTTTACTGTCCGAACTCTTAGTCACTATTGGGAAGTTTAGCCTTGCTAGAGGAAGTGTGTCACTGGGGGGCTGGGTTTTGGGGTTTCAGAAGCCAAGTCAGGCCCTATTTCTCTCTCTACTCTGCCTGTGGATCTGGATGTTGAACTCTCAGCTTCTTCTCCATCACGATGTCTGCCTGCATGTTGCTACGCTTCCTACCTTGACAATAATGGACTACACCTCTGGACTGGAAGCACCACCGGCACCACTTAGATGCTTTCCTTTATAAGAGCTGCTGTGGTCATGGTGTCTCTTCACAGCAATAAAACCCTAACTACAACATAAGAGCATCCAAACCCCTGATAATATCTCCGAGCCTCTGGATCAAGTAAAGCAGTCATTACCTCACTTCAGAGACGGTCACCAAAGCCTCCTAACTGATAAAAATAAAATAAAAATAAAAATCAATTATAACACATGATGACACTTGGGACGTGGCTCAGGTCATGAACACTGGGGTTTAACATGCACGAAGCCCTGGGCCCCATCCCCATCACCACATGAATTGAGCATGCCTGTAATCCCACTCAGAGATGGAAGCCAGAGGATCAGAAGTTCAAGGTCTTTCTTTGCCACCTAGCATATTCCGGGCTGGTCTGGTTACAAGAAACCCCGTCTCAAAAACACGCAAAAGAACATAACAATGTTGATAAACTACAGAAGATATTTTCTTAATAACTTTATGTGGGAAAAGCTAGCCCATTCTATCCATTTATGAACTGCTTCTTCTTTCTATGTTAGAACACAAAAAAGAGCTTACATCCAACTATTTTTATTCTTTATTTTTGTTTTACTTAATTTGTAGTGTTAAGGATCAAGCTCAAGGCCTCTCATGGGTAAGGTAGGTTCTCTACTATCTAACCCTAAAACAATGCAAACAACAAAAGAATTACAGTAAATTGAATAAATAAAGGCCACTCCTATTCCCAGCACCCACCAAAACCAGAATTAAAAATTTAAAGGAAGATTCTAGAGCATTTTCTAATTTCTAAAAGCCCAAAGAGGTTTGAGTATGTATAGAAAAACCTCTATTTTATTAATCAATTTTTTAAAAAAATTAGACCCATTTATTTTATGTGTATGAGAGTTTTATATGTATGTATGCATGCACTCCACTTGTGTGTCTAGTGTCCTTCAGCGGTCAGGCAAGAGTGCCGGATCACCTGGAACTGAAATTAAGATGGTCTTGAGGTATCCTGTGGGTACTGAGAACTGAACCCTGGTCCTTTGCAAGAGCAATGACTGCTCCTAACTGCCGAGTCAAGTCTCCTGTCCTCGGCACATCATCGGCCAAAACACAACTTCAGTTCTAATCTATTAAAAAGTAGTATCTGCAGGGACCTGCTGATCTCTGCGCGCACAGTGAGGCTTGCTGGGCATTGATCCCAAATGCTCCCCCCCCCCCCCGCCTGCACCTGCATTAACTCCAAAGTCAGAAACGGAAAGCAGGTGGGGCTCAGATGGAAGATGGAAGAGGCACAGGCGTGCTTAGAGTAAGGCTGTTAACACGAGGAACTGTATTCCATGGCCCTTTCCTAAGCCACATTTTCGAAAAGTGGGTGCTGGCTCTGATCTATCCCTGAAGCAGGTCTCCTTCTGTAAGACACACTGTATTTCCGCAACCCTGCGGCAATTCCGTGAGAAGCCATCAGTGTGATGGCTGCCATGTGGTGGCTGGCTCACTTCCTCCTCCGCCCTGCTCTGCCTTGACTCCTACCAAGTCTCAGAACTCAGGTTACAGATAGGACAAAACAGCACGGGGCTTGAGTTAATGGTAAATGGAATGGCTCCTGTATATGCAAAGGATCCTGTGCAAAATTACTCTGGAGAAAGATCTTAGTCTGTGTAGTCAACAGTAAGCTTTACTCTTCTTCCATTTGACATCTCTTACTTTTCCAAGAATCTGCCTATAAGCTAAATTTTGGCATGATCACAAATTCTCTCTTAGCTTGGCCAGGTGCTAATACTATTTTCCTACTCCTGACCTGTGACTTCTTCACTGCTCAACTTCTTTTTTTAAGATTTAATTTTAAGTGTGTGTGTGTGTGTGTGTCTGTGCAGATGAGTACAGAGACCCATAGAGGCCAGAGGAGTTGGATCCCCTGGAGCTAGAGTTACAGGATGTTCTAAGCTGTCTGATATGAATGCTGGAAGCCA